TTCCTCTTCTCACTCTGACTCTTTCTTTCACAATTTCATTCCTGATTGGTATCAAAAATGTTTATCAATAAATTGCTTTTCATTCAACTGATTTAGCTAATTATTATCATTACTATTGTAATACATAAGTTTTATTGAGATGATTATGATTAGGCTACAGTGATTAGACTTTGATAATCAATTCGTGTTTAATCATGGTGGGAAATTGCAGTTGATGAGAAAACTGGACTGATTGTTATCAATTATCATTCTCATGAGTAATTGACACTTAATCAACACATCAAGACTTTACCTAAATATTAACAATTTAATGATAACAATACAAAAAAAAATCATTGAAAGGATAACTAAAAATACATTTTTATCATCACAATAACTAATCATCACCATCAAATGGCTGTAAATCAGAAATTAACTAAATTATATAACATAAATACCATACCTGTAAATCTAATTCTGAACTTGACAGATTATTAACTCTGATTATCATTATCATGTAGGTAATTATCTGGCTGATCACCATGAACAGGGAATTTACTACGAGAGAGAAAGAGGAGCAAACGATTCCAAAAATGACAATTTACTCTGTAAACTTGGATCATAATGATAGTGATGATAAATTTGCACGAGAAAACATAATGATAATGATTTTTTGCTTCCATAGAGATAACATGGGTTCATCTCATCAGCGAAATCTACTCATCAATTTTTCTTCATCCCCTGATCATCCGCCTCCATTCATCTGAATACAACAATAGTAAACCATAATGATGATGATGATGATGAAAAAAAAATCAATTTCAATAATAAGATTACTGTATATGTGTATGTATTTAATAATAATGATAGGAGATAGTATCATGTCAAGTTGTCAACCAGAATTTTTATCATCATTATCATTATTATTGATACAGTTATAGTTATGTTTTTCAATGAAAAGATGAACAATTTATGCTTCTCTTATGCTATCTTCATCTTGATCGTCTTTAGCTTTAAATGAGTGAGATGAAGGAGAAAAATAATCAGAGAGAGAGAGAGAGAGAGAGAGATGCCAAGATTGATTGTATTGATACTAAAATCTAAGCTTGATGATAAAACTATTAAGATAATGAATAAACAACATGTAATAATAATATAAAAAGAATTGTAAAGTTTTAATATGAACAAAAAAATAAGATGAGAGAGAGAATAAGATTTACTCTATCAATGGGTGATAGAAACGCATCAATGGTTAGAAATCATCATTTCTATCATTAGTCTACTAGGAATGAAATACTATCTGAAGATTTGATTCAATCAATGGATTTAATGTCAACAATTCTGTATAAACAAAAGGATATATAAAAAAATAGTGACTTTTCAGCAGATTTGATGCATTAAGAAAGTTAAACAGAAAAAATCAAGTAAACAATAGATGGAAAGTGATAGTGAATGAGTAAGAATAAGATATTGATGATTGAAAATTTCATATCTTCTTAATCCATGTATCTCATGAGACAGTTTCCAAAATGATAAATTAACATGGGTAGAAGATGAATAGATAACTAAGGTTAATTATCCATCATCACCATGACCTTAAGAAGAGGCAAAAAAGAAGTTGAAGAAAAAACAACTTGGTAAATGTTGATCATGGATATTGTTGAAGTTGTTGTTCATGATGATGATGATGATGATGATGATGATGAGAGGTGATGAGGACGCAAGGATGATTAACAACAAGGTAATCAATGAAGAGGAAACGTCATTTTCATTTGGTTAACTAACGTTAATCACGGGGAAAAGGAGAAAGTGCAATTACAATGCAATTGCAACATTAGATTGGGGAAAAAAAGATTCTCTTTGCTTTATCACAATTGTGATTGTCTATTTGGATTAAGGTTAAAATTGATTAGTTTACCATGAATGCTAATCAATCAAATAGTTAGCAAAAGAATTGGCTCAATTTAAAGGTATACATATATAGTCCAATAATTTGGATCTAGTATTTTAGTAGCAATTTAATCTAAGAAATAACAATTAATTGAGGATTAACTCAATGATTAAATTGACAAGTAAACTATTGAAACTTAGTAGTGAGTCTGTTCAATATGAATAGAAATGCCTTCCAGTTATTATTAGTTATGATGAAGACGAGGAAGGTGGAAGTAGTTGAACTTAATGGAGATTACATGAAATCGATTGATTCAATATTAACAATAATTAAATGTTACTCATGCCGAGATGAAGATTGAGTTATCTCTGAAATGATGAAAGATGAGGAAAAGAAGAAGAGAGAAGCTTAGAAGATGATAAGAGGATGAAGATGAAGATGAAGATGAAGTTTACCAAAAGTATTTATCATTTAAATGTAAAAGTTGTAGTAATCTAAGTAACCTGTTTAAAAAAAATGTTCACAATCAAATGAGTTGATGTTGTTCAACAATCATTATAATCAAATGATTTTACAATTATCTCAAGACATGATTATCATGAAATGAAGGCAATTTAAAGAGGGGAGAGAGAGAGATAATTGAAAATCAGAGGAAATGATTATCATGAATGAATCAATTGTTGATAGTTAATATTGTTGAATGATGATAATACAAACATTGTAATAGTTAAAGCAATACAGACAAAAATATAACGACAATTACAGTAACAGTAATGTAAGCAATGTATTCAATGAAAATTATTAATACATAGATGAACATGTATCTAGTATTGTTTGGTGAAATTTGCATTTATTTGAATAAGCTGAGTAAAAAAATATCAAGAGAGAGAGAGAGAGAGAGAGAGAGAGAGTTCAATAATAATTCAAAATGAAAAATATGAAACATACAGTATGAAATAAGCAATAATTTTGTCAATGTCTGCATAATGATAGCTGTAATTGTAAAACCAGAGTTTCATATTACTTTAGGCTCAACTACTGTATCGAAAGGGATATGTAAGAGTCTAAAGGTAAAAAACTCATCCATTGCTCATCCAAATCATCATGATCAAAGTCAAATATTGAAACATTACAATTGAAATTGTTTGAAAAAGAGAAGAAAAAATTTAATATCAACACAGAATCGATCTTGAATTATATCATCTGATGATAATATGACATAAATAACAAGAGGATGATAAAGATGAAGGAGAAAAGAATCACAGAGATTTGAAGAGAGGGAGATACATGGCTTCACTCTCATGGAAAAAGATGATAACTGGTGAGAGAGAGAGAGAGAGAGAAATACTCAATTCTGATCAGAATTTGAACAATACAATGAATGATGAAGAAGATAAATTCAGGTATAAACACATGATATCAAGATGAGAGTTATGATGATGATGATGAGGAGAAGATGGAAAAAAAGTAAAATTGATCATCTCTATCATCATTTAAAGATGAGTTCAATTCTCGTTTTGTTATTATTACCTCTCTCACTTTTCCTATTCAGCTATTGTTTTGTTAATGTTATCATGGAGAAAACAGTTTCTACTTGAATCGAATGTAATTTTCAACTTTTTCAACGTTTTTTTCATCTATTGTACAGTTATCCTCATCATTTTTTCCTCCTCTCATCCTTACCTTCATCTCTCTTTTTTTAATACAACACTCAAAGTAGAAAGGGAGAAAGATTATCATCACTTAATCATTAAAATATTATTAATATTTGAAGGCGAAAAGTAAGAAAAAAATGCCGAAAAAGATCAAGAACTTTTCCTATGGAAAAAAATTTCACTTTAAAATTAACAAAAAAAGTTTCGGTTTGAAGGTTATCCTAGTGAAGAGACAAAAAAAGAAATACGATAATCACTGAGATGCAAATTTCTCTCCACCCACAATTGTCTCTTCTACTCTTGTGACAATTCTGAGTTTCATTTTCAGGGAATAAGGTTAAGAACTAGTAGAAAAACTTTCTCTGGAAAATGAATTTTCATCTCATTCTATTGATGAGCAGAATTAATAAAGATATTTCTACAAATGAAGAGAAATTTCTTGATATTATGAAAAAGAGAAAGAAGGAGAGAGAGAGAGGAAGAGATAGAAGATGCTAATGATGAAGGAAAATGATACAAAACTTAAATGCTAATAGAGAAATTTAAAAATAATGGAATAATGATTTTCTTAGTTTCTCTCTGAGTTTTATGTTGATGAACATAATCATTGAGGGAAAGAAAGAGAAACCTGTTCAATGGATGAAGAAGAAAAAAAAAGTTGTCATCATCTTTCACTATTACCAACTAATGATGTATTATAATCATGAAAAGTTATTTATTTAAAAAAAGATTCAGGTAATATAATGAATGAGTGCATAGTACATGAACTTAATGATAAAGATAATAAAATAAAGGACCAATCCTTAATTCATCATCTTCATCATCATCATCATCAGTAAGAGGCAAATGATAATATCTTTCCGATGATATAATGATTAAATTAAATTCCAACTCAAATTCAGAAGCAAATATTATCACCATTTGTTTTAGGAAAATGTTTCATTATCTAATATTAACAGACAATAAGTTGAATTATTAACCATTATAATAGATATTCAATATAACATGATGATTACTGAGTAATAATAAAGGATAATAATAAAACAATCCTAAGGAAAATGGATAAACAGTAATTGATATAAGGTGAAAAAAACAATAGACTCAAAAGATTGTAAATATTAGGGAGAAATTGTATCATTCCCATGTAGATTATTATGTAAGTGATGTATTCATTGTCTATGGGAAAAGGTTGACAGGACTGAGAGAGAATAATAAATTATATATGTAATAAGAAAATTATCATAGGATGATGATGATATTTGACTGAATACCACAGAGTGTTAACAACAATTAGAGTGTTAACTATGAAAATGGAACACTAATTATGTGACAAGATGATCATTTGATAATGATGGATGATTAAGGTAACTTAAAATAGTGAATAGTCATTAAGGAAGGAGAGAAAATGTTTTTTTTTCGTCTTTCCAATCTAATAGATGATAATTTAATTCTTATGATAATTATTTTCGACTTACATCAAATTCCGCCATGACACCATTGATGTTGCCCTCAAATTTTTGCTCCTTCAGTTGACGATAATGATCTTTAAGGTGGCAAATTTCAATCTCGGTATCACCAAATTGTGCAAACTCCATTAGTGCTCGATAGACGAAAATGTATTGTTTAAATGATTGGACCAGAAAGTTTCGTTGGTATCGTAGCTGAGAAACACATTCGTAGATGTTTATTGTGGTTCCACAGGTAATTTCGGGTACCAGAGAATCGATAGCGATAAATGTACCCGTTCTACCCACTCCAGCTGAACAGTGGACCAAAAGTGGACCTTTATCTGGACAATAATGTTCATTGACACGTTTAATGAATCGAAGGAGCCATGAAGGTTGTTCCGGTGCGAGAAAATCTTTCCAAAGGAGAAAGTGAAACTGTAACACATCTCGAGGTAATTCATCTTCATCGGCATCAAGGCGGGTAAGTGAAAATCGACGGATGATGAAATCAGAGTATTTGGTATAACTGGTCAAACTAACGGTGTATAAAGTGTCAATCTTTTTAGTCCCAGAGTCTGTCCAATAATGAGAGCATTTGATTTTACCATGTTCTTCAATCCCAGTTAACATGACGATAACACTGACCTTTTGTTCATAGATCATTCGCCAAAAATCTGTCACCGTTTTCTCAACTGGACCTTGAGCACAAATATAAAGCTTTCGACCTTTATAACCTTCAACAAAATTAGCGTTAATATAATCCGATCCAGGGATACCCTCGATAGGTGATAGTTTAACTCGAGTTTGATCATAACACTTGATGTCAGGGTAACGATTTTTACCAACGTTTTCAGTTAGATTTGAATCGATAGAGGTTCGATCACCAAAATTTTCGGGTAACGCTTCAAACTCAGACTGAAAAAGTAGATCTGAATTGGCATGACGCTCAATAAAAACATTGGGCAAATTTTGTATTGGAATAGGTTGACCAATCCATTTGTGTCCATTGATTGAACCAATTACACCATTTGAAATGATGTGTCCATTTTTGGTTCCAACAACAGTTCGTCTAAGTAAAGCGGTAAGGCCAAGGCGCTCATCGTCACCCGTCTCACTAAGAGAATCATCAACCTTTGTCCTTAGGAAACAAATCACAGAGAGAACGGAAAATAGAATCAAAGCAAGGCCACAAACAATACCAAACAAAATGGCCGCCGCTGAATCACTGAGAGAGGCAAAGATTGGTGAAAGTGGTGAAAGTGATCCAACCCTTGGGTCAACCGAACCGGTGGTAATGGTATCAAAAAAGTCACTTTGTTTGGTAAGATAAACACCATTAGGTCCAAGAACACGAACCTCAATGAACCCCGAGTAATTAGTTGACGAATCTAAAGGTCCATCAGCAATTAAATTGTTTAATGAAGATAAACCGATAGTTGAATAGTATGGACCATAATTTAAATTACTATGACTATGATTATGATGATGATGATGATTAACACCATTGGTATGGATGTTTATGTGAATACTATTAGGACCATTTTGATTAGGATTATTGGTGTTACTATTAACATTATTATTATTATTATTATTAATTATTTCACTAGGAGTGGTCATCATATAACCAGGATCGATTCTTCTTGGTATTCGACCATCTTCACAAGATGAATGTTCACCATCACCAATAATTATCTCATCGGCAAGATTATCGGGTGACATTTCATCGGCAATGTAGGCACCCAAAAGGGTTGTATCATTACTTTGAAGGGCAGCAAAGGTTGATGAATGGACGTCAGCGTAGGTGGTAATATTTACATTGGAGGGTAATGGAGGTAAGACCAGATTGGTTTCCGTGTTTTTTGGCAATTTAATTATCACTATTTTATAACATTTAATTGGTCCATTTCTCTCCGAGAGACGGGGAATGGTTAACTTTAATTGACGACAGAAAGGATCATCTGGATCAACCAAGGAAAGTAATGATCCAGCTCCTGGAATTGAGGGTGGAACGGTGGGTGAAGAGTAGCACATAGTCGATGAGGTGATAACACTTAACTCTCCACAACCCGCTTTATTAAGGGTACACAATCGAACCGTATAATTGGTATTAGGTTTAACGTCTAAACTAAGGCTTGATTCATTACTATCAACGGGATAGATTTTCTTAAAATTATCCATTTCCATTTGATTATCAGCGTTACGATAAGATGAATGACCTTCTAGAGAAACATTATAACCGACTATGGTTCCTCTTGATTTAGATGGTGGATCCCATGTAATGTTAACACGATTTGATGATCGATCAGAATCATAGAAACACCTAAGGATAACATTTTCCGGTGCTTCAGCAATTCCATCTAAAGTTGATACTTGAAATTTAGGATCAGACCATTTACCACATCCAAGTGAGGAACAAGCTCGAACTCTAACCGTATAATTAGTCGCTGGTACTAAACCGACAAACATGAACATTAACCTTGATCCACTTCCACCAGTTTCTCTATTGATTTGGAATGATTTATTATACAATAAACGATCATCGGCATCTCTTAATTCAAGAATATATTCAATTATATCGGCACCATTATCTTCTGGTGGTTTCCTCCAGCCAATCCAAATAGTTTCATTGGTTCGGGAAAGAACATGAAGTTGTGTAACCGGTGAAGGTACATCCGGTGGCATGGTAACATTTCCGATAACCCAATCTGATTGTCCAGCATCATTGAAAGCAGCTAAACGAAATTCATAAGAAAATGCCGGAATTAGACGGAAAACGGTATAAGAAGCCGTTCGATTGGGTTCAATGTTTCCATCGATTTCACTCCACTCTGAGTCACCTGTTTCCGTAATATTTCTCATCTCAAGGTATATCCGGTGAACTTGGGTGTTACCATTGCTACGTAATAACCATGAGATGTTAACACTTCTTGGATTAATTGGCTCAATGGTTAATGAATCTAATCGAGCTGGTTCAATGACAAATAAATCTAAACGGGATAAGTTTCCATTATTATTCAATTGATCACCAATTCCTCCAGCATCTCGACATGCATACGTCCCATTGTCACTTAAACGAAGTGATTTAATAGTTAAACTGAATCGATCCAGGTCATCACCAAAAGTAGAACTTATTGTTGTAGATCCATTTCCTCCTCCTCCTCCTCCGCCGACATTATTATTATTTGTACCAAGAAAAATTCTATCATCATAAATTATTGGCTCCCATGGTTCACTTTGAACAGTTAACGATGGTTTATCATCTTTATTATCACTATTGGTACCAATGGACCTTGTCACTATCTTCTCCCAGATAACGTTTTTAGGAGGAAAATTAGTATTTCTATTAATAATTAAACATCTAAGAATTGCAGTATCGTTCAATGTTCCTTTAAGAACTTGAGCATTTGGAAAAATTTGAGCTGTCATCAAGCCTGAGGAACGATGATGATGATGAAAGGCAATTGAAGGAAACACGTATTATCATTAATCGGCGACAAAATATTCACGTGGTGAAAAGATTTTGTATCAATAAGATGAATTCAATTGTAACGATTGTAGGATTGAGAGAGGGAGAGAGACACACACACATATTGAGAGAAATTGAAAGGACAATGATGATGATGATTATGATGAAGATGACGATGACGATCAAAATTGACGATAATCACATGGAAATGGTGATACACAAGGACGAAGAACGTAGTTATCGGATCAATGTGAAAGAGGGAAAGGATTAATGATGAGAATGATAGAGAAAAAGAGGAAGAGGAAAAAATAAAAAAAGGAAATAAACAAATCGATTAAAGCATAAAATAATTAAATAAACAACAATTATCTCTCTTTCACCATAGAGAGAGAGAGAGAGAGAGAGTACAAATTCTAAATAAATAGTTGATGAATCTTACCTTCACTTGGAGATGATGAAGTTGTGTTCAAATCTCTTGGAAGCATATACGATGTTGGTGGAGAAATTGTCACATTATTGATATTTATGTTTAATGGAAAACTTTTGTTACTTTGCAAAAAACTACTCGATGGTAATGGAGGTGGAAGAGAAGATGATGATGATGATGATGATAAAGATGGTGCATCAGCTAATGAGCTGAATATTGTAGTAGAATTGTGAGAATTGCTATTATTTATAATATTATTACTTTGTGAAAGATCAGATTTACTATTATTACTAAAATTATTACTATTGGTCAATGGTAAAGATGAAGTTACCATCATGTGGTTTGACATTTTTGATGATGAAGATGGAGATAGAGTTGAAGATGATGATGGTGATGATGGCGATGATACAAGATCAAGATCATCTTCACTATTATTATTATTATTATTATTAAATGGTGTTGATTCACTGGCAACAAAAAGATATACCAAAGAACCAACTAATACCAGGGTTCCATGGTGTTTCATGTTGTCGATCTGGATTAAAAGCCGTTGTTATTGGTGTTGATTTGATTGTTAAATAAAGGAGAAAGGCCTTCAATTGATAATAAATGATGATGATTAACAGAAGGGAATGAAACCAGCTAGAAAAGCTAATATGTTTCATTTAATACCTTCTCCAGGCCTAACACACTGATTAACTGTAGTCACAGTAAACATGATGAGAGTAACAATTGATGTCGACAAAAAGAGGTATCCATTTTTTTTTTGTTTGGGGTTACAACTTAATTTCTTATTAGGGAAGAACAAGATTTAATGGAGAAAATGAAAAATCAAACGATGGAAAATGATGTTAATAAACTTGGGTGATTAACGTATATTAATACAAATGGTAAAGATGATTTATCAACCATATACACATGAGAACAGAATGTTGATTTTCCCCAGAGAGAGAGATATTAACACACAAAGAAATGGCGAGAGGGAGAGATGATGAAGATAAACACCAGTACCAGAAGAAGAAGCCAAATGATGGTTATATTAAAATAAGATAATCACATTAATATTTTGTAAAAGAGAATAGAACAAAAAAATGTTCTTTTCCTTCTTGTTGGTTTTGGTGTTTTTTGGAAAGAGAAGAAAACACAAGACCAAGAGAAAAAGAGAAAACCAGAATTTAGAATCAACGTTTGATTGGTAACAACAAACAGGAGAAAGTCATGGGACACATCATAAGAAATTCCATCCAATTTTCACCCGTTAATCCGATGAGAGAGAAGAGAGAAGGTAAAAATAATTGGAGAAAAAGAAAGAAGAAAACAAAAACAAATGATTAATCCATTGGAATACAAGTAAAAGAGAACAACATGATTAACGTGTGTAGAAAAGTTACCATGAAAATAGATGGAGAAAAAAAGGAAATAAAGAAAAAATAATATTCTTTTGACAGGTAACAATAAAAAGGAAAACAACAAGAAACTGAACAACCTGAACTCTACACAACACTAACATCATTTGTAGTAAATGAAACACTTTATTCTACAAGAAGCTATAGCTCAAACAGCTCCCAATCTAATTGGCTGATATTGAGTCAGCGCAAACCCTTTATTTACATTTTTAATCTCAATTAAAATGGTGAGTTTTTTTAATTAGATTTTAATTTAATTAATTAATATTAATTTAATCTCTTTTTTTCTTCTTTTTTTCTCTCTGCAGGTCTCTCCCATAACCACCGCCGAGAATACGCCATCACCGGCAGCTGCCACTCGCCAGATCCGAGCCCAACTCAAGGTGAGTTTTGCTTTCTTTTTCTCTTTCTTTTTTCTCTTTCTCTTTCTTTTTCTCTTTCTTTTCTCTTTCTTTTCTCTTTCTTTTTCTCTTTCTTTTTTCTCTTTCTTTTTCTCTTTCTTTTTTCTCTTTCTTTTTTCTCTTTCTTTTTCTCTTTCTTTTTCTCTTTCTTTTTTCTTTTTGCTTACCTCTCTAATTGTTTTCCCTTTACTTTTTTTTCTTTATTCTCTCTTCTAGTCAATCCAGCCGCCTCTCTTCGAGCCTGACAAGCCGAAGAGGAAGAAGAAAAAAAGGCCAGCGCCTCCACCGCCGACTCAACCAGCGCCACCACCACCGACTCAACCACCAGCACCTCTCTCTCAACCTCCTCTCTCTCAACCTCCTCTCTCTCAACCTCCTCTCTCTCAACCTCGCATCATTCTCTCTGACAACCTGACGACAGAGATCGAAAAGAGTGTCAGTACTGAGGAACAATCAGTAAGTTTAAATAAATTTAATTCCCCACAATTCCCCACAATTTTTTGATATTAATTATTGTCTTAATTTCTGCATTTATTTTGCTATTACAGGTTGTTGATCATGCTATTGATCAAAATGATCCTTATGATGAGGAAACTGATGCTGAGGAACAACCAGTAAGTTTCACTAGATTTAATTCCCCACAATTCCCCACAATTTTTAAATACAATTTTCTTTTGTTTTTTAATCTCTGGTTTCATTTTGCTGTTACAGGTTGTCGATCATGATGTCCATCAAAATGATCAAGATGATGACAATGATGTTGAACAACAAGTGAGTTTTCAACGATGAAATTCCCCACAATTCCCCACATTTAAATAGAATTATAATATTCATATTTTGTATTATTTGTCTAATTTATTTTTTGTCATTTCAGCTTTCTGATCATGAAGGTGATTTACCTGATCCTCCTCAGCTTATCGAACTGAGTGATCAGAGGCTTCGTTCAGCAAAAGCTGGCGAAGCCGATTATCCTGTTGATAGTTGGCTGAGGCGAGGGTATGCCTACCATCCCGGGCTAAAGCGCCGAGTCATCGGTAATTTGGTCCAACAGCGTCTAATTTACTTAGACAATGAGTTGGACTTACCTGATATGGAGCCTGAAGAGCTTGTAAGTATCAACTTATTTGAAAAGATTCGATAAAACTTAATCTTGATTATGATTTAATAATGAACACATTACTAATGGTTTTTTTGTTTCTTTTTAGGGTCCAATCAATGCCCCAGGTAGTGGTGAACACTACAGTTGGGCTGAGTTGGCACCAAAAGAGATGGAGTCAGCGCGGGAAGAGGAAAAGAGGAGGATAAGGAAGGAGAAGCGGACCGGGAAATGGGGCGCTAATCCCGAAACCCGGTGTCGTTTCTGTGCCAAAATTTTCGCTCGTAAGGATGTCGCCGACACCCACGAGAAAAATGCTTGTAAAGCACCTGGTGCTCACAAGCATGTTTGTGACCCAGGTGTTTGTCCAGATCCATGTATTGGATCTAGAGATTGGGTCAGATCCGTTGGCAAAAAACGCGGGCGAAAAGCCCGTAAATAAATTTTGCTAATTATTGTAAAAAATTTACTTTATTTATATTTGATATATTTGAAATTTTCGAAATATTTAGTCATTAAATTGACTCGAAAAAAGCTCTCTCGCTAAAGAATCGTGAACTAAGTCTTTTGTCTTTGTTACAATTTTTCTCTTCTTGTTCCTGAATCTTTTCTGTTGGTCGATATTTCTACCGCTACCTTGTGATCCAGCAGAAGGGGAGATAGTTTTACCAGCAGTTGATCGTATGGCTGAGAGGGTAGGCTGCATTGGAACAATAAACTTTTGTAATGAATCAAGTTCAGCGATTGAAACACAAGAATTTACAAGCGAACAAATCTCAGCGATCATTTTTTGCTTTCGCTCTTCCAGAGTACGCTTAACATCATTTGTGCTAGTTGGTAGAAGATGAACATGGGCCTCTGCTTTCTCGATGTCTTGACTTGGCATTTCCAATTCAAGATCATCCTCAAGCGATATTTGATTGGATTCATTCATAGCATCGGTCTCATTCCGTTTCATACCAATGAAGTGAATGTGCTTACACATATTCCCTTTAATCATAAAGTCGAAGCATTCGCATGAAACCTCACTTATACAGAGATCACAAGCTTGACAGTGTATCAAACATGAGCAATCACTTTTCTTCTTAATGGTGACGGTGTACATATTGAGCAGCTCACTATTTGAGATTATTATCCATTTAGTTGAATCATTTTGGTCGTGCGAAAAGTCAAACGTACAGTTTAATGCTCGCTGGTGCCTGTTTCGCAATTCAGACAACTTGGTAGGGACAAATCCTTTTGTCTGTCTTATTAGTTTATCGTATTGCATTCCATAAGTTAATTTCATTAGTGCGGATATCGATTCATCCATTCTTTTAACTTTTTTACCATCCATATAAATATGTTTGAGGTTCCTTGAGATAAAAGATAAAACATCTTATCATTAAACCCCACAATTCCACATATAATCAATTAATTAACACAGAAAGTTCTCGAGGTGCATATTAGTGTTTATACCTAATTTTTTACGATAACACAAAGCCCATTGTTGCTTTCTACTACCATAGTTTACCTCTAAATACGAAACAAAATCTACTGTTGATTTGACTATTTTATATTTCTTGCAAAAGAAATCATACAAGCGGCTAAATTCAACCTGGTCAAGCTCACGATGAATGGAGAGAAGGTCATGTTTTATCTTCTTTCTAGCTTCAGGATCAGGAATGGATAGAATATGTTTGTTCCAATTTTTAAGTACGTGCCAGGTACACAACAGATGGTTCGCTGGTGTCCCAAATACCGCGCACCAAGCAGCATAATAACCAGGGAAATCGTCTGACATGAAGACATTTGGAGTTTTTATGTTGCAAACTTTTTTCAATGAAGTGAAAAATGTTCGACAAACATACATATCAACTTTAGCTGAGTATAGATATGCAACTGGGAATCCAACCCTAAATAGAATGTAAGAATAATTGATAATATATCACTTTGATAGCACAGGTAAGTGACCTCACCTATTTTCATCAACAACCATTATTGTTGTCAACTGGAAATCGTAATCATTTGTTCCATGAGTAGAGTCCATCGCAATAACATTTCCTCCATATTTTTCTAACATGAAACGTTGCCCAATTGTACTTATTACGAGCATGAAAGATGATGATCCATCATCATCTGGCTGCTGATAATGAATTATTGGATCTTGTTCAGTTTCCTTCATCTCTGATATCCATGATTCAACACTAACAAGATCATTAGAGTCCCGATTAACATGAGATTTCAGATTGAATGATGAAGAAATATTTGTCAAATCTTTAACAGACGTTAAGTGGATTCGCTTTGTTTCGTCGGTCCAAGTTGATCGAATTTTGTTGAGAATCACTTGACGGCTCATTCCTAGGGTTAAATAAGATGCCAACTCTTCCCTTTGATTTGAAGACAACTGAATATGTTTAAGATCTAAAGTGTGCCCAACATGTTTGGCTTGATACCTTATCAACACTTTTTCATTTTCCATATTCAATTGTATAGTTGATGGACATCTACCACCAATTTTTCGTGAACCTTGTATTTTTAAATAGCGTTCACGATCCTCAGGAGCTAAATAAGTACCAGATCGATTACAATCGAAGTACTTTCTTCCATCGGAAGAGCTAGATGAAAGTTTATAAAAACAAGTATTTTCTTCTTCAATTTTGGTTTTCCATGTATCGAAATCTGAATCATAACAAAAACAACAAACGTTGATTTAAACTATTTAATTGGATCGATTTTAAACCCCCACAAACCCCCACAATTTATATAGATCAGAATTTATTCAATATTATAATCATTGTAAACTAACCTTGAATCGAGTCAAACGTGAGGGAGTGGAATTCCATTAAAATCCTGTGCTCACTATTAAGGTGATTTGCATAAGATGAAACGTTTGTTATCACTGTTTCACACCTGATGCACTTGAATCCATTAGGTGTTCTACCATGAAAATTAACTTCATGTTTCCTCAAGTTTCTCTTGGCACTAAAAACTTTGTCACACCGATCACATTTGAATACAGTTTCCAGATTATTTGATTCAATGTTTGCTGACATGTTGATCCAAACAAGTGAAATTATAAGGTTATATATTTAATTAAACAAAAACTTTATAGTTAATTGGTAAAGTATTATCAAAATAATAATTCTAATTCAATTGTATTAATTCAAAACAATTATCATTTCTAGCCATCATATGGCTACACGTTACCATAGCATTAGTGATGCTCGATTGTGATTGGAGGGAGCCGTTTGAGCTGTAGCTTTCTGTCTTTATTCTTAGATTTGACAGCGACCTCAGGGGAGGCACCGATGAATTAAAATTCATCGTATCCGGTTGCGACTACCGTACAATAGGGAAAAGATAGGATTGGAGTACAATGGAGTGGGAAAAGGAAAATTAGGTGATGATTCTTTGAATCAAATACATATATCATTGGATCTTCTCGCCTCCCCTAAGGTCACTCTGATGTGATTTAACAATCTTAAATAAATATCGACATTGTTTTCGTCTAATTTAAATCCTTTTGGAAAGGCCACCGACTCTCCTAAATCGACTGCCGCGTATTTAATGTTCCATTCACAGGTGTACGGGTGGTGTTTTTCGCCTGGGCAGCATTTGAAGTTGTTGTATCTCAAGTATCTCGTCCTGAACTCTTTGGTTGTTTGCCAGAAAGACGATTTTCCAGCGAAGCCCCACTCACTGAACAGTGAGTTCTGGTTTGGGAATAATTTACTGATCACGTCCTCTTCATCCGCCAACCAATTTGTTAATCTTTGTCTTATCCTCCACTTGATTTCTTTTCTCCAAGTGTTCGTTGAAAGCCATTGGTTATTGATAATTGTCCTACGTTTTGAAGTGAATTCATAGTTTATGGTCTCTCCATATGTCCAATGCCAACTATATGATTTATACTTGGACATTATCGAGAAAGCGTCCGCCACATAAAGCGATTCCGAGTTCGGATTCAGTTTCAGGTTATTGGGAATAACTATTATGATGTTTTCTTTTTCAATTTTCATGAATTCTAATTGAGCCTGGATGAAGAAGAGATAATTGTCCCATTGAGTTGAATTTTTGAACTGGAAAACGTTTAGGTTAAAAGGCCCGACTCCAATGTTTAAATTCTCATCGTTTACATAGTATTCAATCGACATCGTATATTCCGTCTCCACAAAACGATCCATGAGTTTCCTCTTTTCCAGTCTCGATGTCTCTTCCAGCGGTGGTTCCAGGGTAAACTTGTAGTCCTCATGGATTGTCGATTCATTCTTCATCGAGAAATTTAACGCTTCCATCCAAAGTATTTCCAGGATATGAGGAATCCCGTAGAAACACCAAACCATTGAACCTGAATATGTTCCTTGTTCAAGAATCGACACGCATTTATTTAACAGGTTAAATGTTTGCATGAAGATCTTTTTGGGCTCCAGGAAAAAGGAATAACCTATTTTTCTCAGGTTTGGGTAGATTACATTTGTCATCATCATTCTTTTTATCTTACGAGGTAGAAATGAGAGGGTTCTCCGCGAGCATTTGAATCTAGCCAGTTGGTCGAAGAACAGCTTATCCACGAAGTCTCTAACCTTCGTGTACCTGAAAGGTATGAAAAATTTGTAACCGACGAATATCAGCTTATTAAAATCTCTCGAATGGCTCGTTGTCTTCTCCTCATTTAATTCCAGCCCAATCTCCTTGAAGTGATGGCTGATCTCCTTGACTGTTGACCGTTCTTCTTCCACCAAAGACATGAAGATTACCACATCATCGGCGTAGGCTTTTATCTCCACCTTCCTCTGTCTGAGTTTCCTCAGGGCACTGTCCAGAGCTAGAATATATAAGAGTGGACCCGATGCCGACCCTTGCGGAGTTCCTATTTCCTCTGAAGCGAATTTTTCTTTTTTCTCGTTTACTATTTTGATCCAACGTCTTCCACTGAATGATTTCACTAATCCTGCCAGCGATTTGTCTTTCCTCTCCAGGTTTTCTACCAATGTTGACAGGTCGACTGTGTCAAAAGCCGCTTTCACGTCTAAGGTTAATATTCGAGTGGTGGACCAGTTTACCTGAAAGGTCATTTTCAGTACCAATTTCTCTCTGTTCGAGTCACTAGTGAAGGCAAATTGCGAATCTTGGAGCAGGTAATGGTCACATAATGAAATAAGACGATAGCTGATGATCTTATCTACACATTTAAATAGAAAATTTGGCGATTTAATCATCCGAACCTTCTCTGAGTTCGCCTTCGGAACAAATCCTCCACCCATCACTCGCAGAGCTTCGGGAACGTGGGAAACATCGAAAATCCTGCTTAGAATATTTTTTATATTTGCCATGTTCATCTCGAAAAATCTTGACCACTGCTTTGCGGTGAATCCATCCGACTGTAGGGATGATTTAAAAAGCTTCATGTCTTTACATAACTGAATCCATTCTTCCTCCTCCATTTTTCCTCGATGGTATTCGGTGATACTTTCAGACATTTTCGGTTTATTCGTCGAGAATTTTTCCAGGTAAGCTGCTATTGACTGTGAGTATTTGCCTTTAAGGTCTACATCTTGTATAACCATTTGTTTCGTCTCGGATCTCAGGTTTTTTATTAACTTCCAAATGTTGGCTTGTTTACCGTTTTTCGGGTTGAAATCACTCTTCTTCGATCTCGACAATTTAATTTTTCCTCTGTCATTCGTTTTTCTCATAAGCCGTCGGAGACTCTTGGAAATTACAGATTCTGTCAGATTCAGCCACTTTCCATTTCTCCTCGGGAAGTTTATGACCTTCTTAATGTCTTTGACCAAAGATGATTCCCCGCTGATAGGTACATCCTGTCTCGTTTTTTCCAGCTCGATTTCCTTTATTTTAAACTTGAGAAACCATCTCGACTGAATGCTCGATCCATTTACCGGCAACACTTTCATTTTTAAGATGTTGTGATCGGATTTCGTGTCAATTACTTTAGAATCGGCTATGATCCATTCCTTTGTCATGATTTGGCAATCTATGAACGATCTGATGTCACCACTTTGGTAGGTGAAGTTTTCTATCAAAGGAAAGTGAGCCGATTTAAAGTTGTCACCGAAAATTTGTTCTCCTAATTGATTGTATTTTTCTTCCCTTGGGGACCAGAGATGATTTTCCA